TTATTATCGTTATTATTATTATATTACTTATTGCATTTTACCAGTAGCATTTACTTTCTTTAGATCACTAGAAATAAGGTTCATTTGCACCATAAATTGACAATCTGCAATAAAGATAATACTCTTTTACATGTCAGAAATTATTTATTCTACAAATTAGCTTCATTCACACCATTATTTGACAATTTACACAAAAAAAACAGCAAAAAATGGATGAAATGGATACTTTTGAGATTATTTTTAGTTATTATACAGCACATTCAACCATCTTTACCCTTAGCAAAAGTGCTCTTAGACTCAAAGATTTTGATGGCCATATTAGACTCTTAAAAACCACTATTTTTCTGTTGTCATTCTTATTTTGGGAAGAAAGCATAAACTTTGGGTCTTAGAAATAGGGCATATATATATATATATTTTCCTACCATCTAGTGCAAATTATATACCTCACACCTACACTCTGCTAGTCCCCGCCTACAGATTTGTTTGCCTTACCCATGCACATCTTATTCTTTACAGATTTGAAGCAACACGTCGTATTCGTAACATGGAAAAAGAAGCAAATGAGAACGGGGCGAACGCAGGAAGGCCTGAGTGGCATGTGCCAATATTGGCCATGACTGCCGATGTCATTCATGCCACGTCAGACAAATGCCTCAAATGCGGGATGGATGGATATGTCTCAAAGCCGTTTGAGGAAGAGAATCTCTACAAGGCTGTCGCCAAGTTCTTTGAATCGGGTCCCCCGCCTGATAATTAGTGTTCTGGACAATTTTCCACGTTTGCGTCTGGTGTTTGCAGGTTAAGCATTGTGTTGTTGATAGCCATAGCCTGTTTCAGTGTAACTACTTTGCTACAAAATGTGTGTGATGTATACTGCTCCTGAAATCAGAATGGTCCTTCTCCTAGCTGTGTGTACATTTTAAAGTGGAGAAGCTTAAAGGGATTACAATCTGACAATGGAAGTCATAGATGTACTTATTATACGATAGATATTCTTGTATGAGGTTGCTATTAAGGTTTTCCATTCCTTTAATTTGTTCATTAGAACATGTTCTTTTCATCCTTCAGCAATAGTTTAATAAAATTCACATCACAATGATCACATATCATACTAAGGTAGATCAAGTCTGATTCCGGTAAAAGACAGAATGAGAACCTTAACCGGTGTTTTAGCCTATTGTTTACAAAAACGGAATTGGTTGATTTTTTTTTTGCAAAGAGAAGGACTAACTTTCATTAACAAGGTCTGAGTTCAAAACAGAAGAGATAAACGCCGGAGCAACAGAAAACCAAGATTGCGAATCAGATAAAGAACAAGCAGTTTTAGCAATAGCATGAGCTACTTTGTTCGCTGACTGCCTAATATGAGAGAAAGAAATGTTAGAAAAATTCTTCGCCAGCTCTCGTATATCATCTGCAATTAACCCATAAGAAGCACAACTCGATCCCTTTTGAATTTCCAAAATAGCTCTAGAAGCGTCTGACTCAATATCAATCTCTGTCCATCCTGTTCCTTGCACCCAACTCAAGGCCTCTCTTATGCCTATAAGTTCTGCTTCTAGCGTAGTAAGACAGCCTGTCCTAGGGGTGGACTCGGGCCAGTTCGAGCCCGGTTCGGGCCTGGGCCCGGCCGGGCCTCGGTTAATGAAAGGGGAGGCCCGGAACCGGCCCGGGTAACCCCCGGGTCCGGTTCGGGCCGGGCCTGGCCTCAGTTCAACTTAATTTTTTTTGGCTTTTCCTAATTAACCCCCAACCCTCCCCCCTCACCCCCAAACCACCCCAAACCACCTCAAATGGCCCAAAATACTCAGCCCAACCAAAAACCTAAAAAAAAATTCAAAAAAAAAGGAAAAAAATAAATAGGCCCAGACCGGGCCCGAACTGGCCGGGCCGGTTCACCTTTTCAAGGACCCGAGCCCGGCCCGGAACCCCAGCGGGTCGGGCCTACCCGGACCAGTCCCTGGTCGGAGCCGGCGGTTCGGGCCGGTTCAAACAGTGACCAGGCCGGGCCGGTTCCGGGCCGGGCCGCCCGGCCCGAGTCCACCCCTAGCCTGCCCATGGACGCACCACACCAGCCAGAAACTCGCCCTCGTTATTGCGAATACACCATCCCAGTCCGCAATGATCTGTCCGGATAGCTGCATCAATGTTCAGCTCCACTCTATCCGCGGTCGGGCGACACCACGTAGATCGGGAGCTCTGAGCAGCCCTCCCGCCTACCTTGCTAGCCTGTTGCGTCTGAAGCCATCCCTGCACATAACAATCAGCCTTCAACATGAATTGGCCTGTAGAAAGAGCTTTGTTTTGCGAATACATTAACAAATTTTAATGTATTAAATTGTCAATCTCGTTTTTGTATTATCAAAGAAAAGTCAATCAAGTGCCCGTACTTTTAAATAATCAATCAAATCTCCAAACTTTGGAAAACGTTCAATTGAATCTATTAACGGGTTACACGCAACGTAATCAAGTCACCTGCTGCCGTGACACACGTGGCAACTCAGTCAACATTGATTTGGTTTATGTGGAAGCCTACTCAGCCCTTTATCGATGACGCGATACACACATAGACCGTCTCGTGTGCGCCACACGAGCGAGTTATCTACTGACGTGGCAGGTAACCTGATAATGGACCCATTTGAATATTTTTTCAAAATTCAGGAATTTGATTAAATTTCTTATGTATGAAAATCTTTTCGTGAGAGTACGAGGATCAAATTGGAAGTTCTCTCAATTTTAATTAAAAAAGAACATGCTTATAGTTTGAAGTTTGAACAACTATTTCTTTATGTACAAGTCCACATACTTCTATTGTTCTCTTGTATCTTAGACCACAAAATTGTTCCCATGTGTTCATAAAATGGAATTTTGTTGATAATTTGGATTTTGGACTAGTCTTACATTTTTTTGTTTGGTCTGATTTTCTATGATTTAAATTTTATTAGTAGGATGAATTCATCCATAATTGTGTAAAACATTATTTATTAGTCGGGTTTTATTTAATTAGAGAGTATATACATCCACTTACCGACTTGCCTATCAACTTATCAAGAAAGAATTAAAGGATGCAAGATCATCTCATTATGGCTCTAAAAAAACATCCCATTATGCAGGGGTGGAGACAGGGAAGGGCTGGAGGTAGCCACGGCCCCTGCAAGAAAAGAAATTCTTAAGTATACATTATATATAAATACTCTTAATCTGTAGAAAGTATGTTGATATTTTAATCTGTAGAAAGTATGTTGATATTTTAATCTGTAGAAAGTATGTTAATATTTTAATCTGTATAAATATTTTAAACTTTGGCCCCTGAGTAAGTAGAGTGATCCAACATTCTAGTTAGCAATGCCCCTGCCGCAGAGGTATGCAGAATAAGCAGAAATGGTTCGGTGACTGTTGAGCAAAATAATAAGAGGTAGAGTTATTAATTTTTTCATTTGGCCTTTCCTTTCCGATTTATAAAAAAAGGCTGTCTTATGGTGTTTTCCATTAATGCGTAAATAACCTAATACGATGGTGATGGTTTTAGAATCTTAATCTCATTATCTTTCCTATGAAGGGATTAAGGTGCTGATAATGATGATTTTAAACCACTGTAGATGCTTGATGCTTTGGTCCATTAAAATGCCCTTTTTTCCTTTTCTTCATCATAGCGTACTTACATGCGTTCAGTCTTACACTCTTACTTCTCTATCATATATTCATCTACAGGTAAGAAGGTTGACAACGTAACCAATCGATCCCACAAAATTCTTATGGATATGATATATTCTTATGTTTTCTCAGGCAGTATCCATTTCATTGAAATGCAAATGTCAGTTCTGACTTCTTAGTAGTGATAGAGCTAAAAAGCATAGAAAAACACTATTTGTACCCACCCTTATACTCACCAATGTTAGATGCTATATTGTTGTTTGTGAATCCCGTTCAGACAAAAAATATCTTGTTTTGTCTGTGCAAAAACTAGACATGTTTTGTGTATGAACGAGATTCACAGACAAAAAAATACCCCCTCACATTAGTGGGTATAAATAGGAGGGCTGAAAAGCATATTAGGGTTCAAAACTTAGCACAATATCAAAAGATCAGGTCATTTTTGAGAATATATTTGAGTTGAATAATTCATATGTAGGTAGAATAAACTTTAATTCAAATGAGACCTAGAGAGTTATTGGTTTGTTATACACTACGTATGTAATACAAGTATATCATAAACTTTACGTAGCTAATGAGTGAATAGAACATTTTTTAAATTCGTGAATGTAACTCTGTACTACATATCAAATTGTACTCATTTCAAGTTTAGGTGATGTTGATTTTTCAGAAGTAATAACTTTTGGCACATAATGAATTAGAGACATAACATAAAAAAATTAAAGATATTTGAGTGCTCTATATGCTTAAACATTTTGGGGGTCAGCTGACCACTATTACCCCCTGGCTCCGCCCAAGAGTGGTAGAGTTATGCACTTAAACATGTTGTCAAGAGGACTATGTTTTTCATAATTGTATTTTGGTAGATGAAGTTAAACCGCTAAACATACATGTATCACATTCAAGGATAACAGAGAAGATTCTGCGATGCTCCTTTTGGTATGTTGGTAAATCATACATTTAGTTCATCAAATCTAAATCGTTTGATGTATCATACATTTATAGCAAAATTGATTTTGGGATCTTAACTTGTGTGCTTTAGCATATAATTTCCCCGAATTCTCCTTGAGAGAGAACTACTTTTATACTAGAAACTTCTCTGACAGATACTGTGTGTAATCATAAGCAAATGTTGATAGCTTTTTTTTTATGAACATTTAACCGTGTCTGCTGAAACAGAGATACAAAAAAAAATCATGGCTACAAGGGGAGGACTGGTCATATATTTCCCCAAAAGAAGATATTATGAAGCTAGTGACTGAAACAATCTACACTGACTGTAATGTATTTTCTTGTATGTTGTCTGTCATACATAGTTACACTTGCAAAAGAATTGCTGAAATCAACCTGTTATTGATACCTTCTGAGGTAGTATTGAGGAGTAGTTGGTGTTCTATAAAGAGTATATGCGTTGAGGACTTGGGGGATGCTTATACGTGTTGAATTTTGTTGTAGCACCCCAAACACTTCAAGCTCTGTCATGTATAATGCACCTTATCAGGAAGGTGAATCTTCTTATCTCATATGGTGATTGTGTAGAATACTATGTAGCACCGATACCGGTACGCGGAAACGCGGAAACGCGGAAACGCGGAAACGGGTACGGGGATACGTCAAAACCAAAAAAAGTAGGATACGGATACGGGGCCATATTTATAAATATTAAAAGTTATGGGGGTGTATTTACAAATATTAAAAGTTATAGGGGTCTATTTATAAATATTAAAAATAGATTTTTTTTTAAATATATATACATACATACATATAATATCCTATGATGTCTACCCATTCATTGCATTGAAGCATTTTCCTTTTTCAAGATACTTAGTAATAAATTCATAATATTTGTCATATACACTTGTATCTCAAAATATAAATGTAGTCAATAAGTCATTAATTTAAAATGTGAAATAAGTCAAACAACTACAATCTTGAAATTAAAAGTGCAAGTACCCACTTCGGAGTATGAGTTAATGACTTAATTCGGATATAGCCATATAGGCCCATTATTTGATTACCAAGTAAAATGTAGTTTTAGATTTTCATTTTTTTTTTGGAATTTTATTAAGTAAATTTTGGGATTTTTTTTTTTAAAAAATGGTTGATACGGGTATCCGTCAGGATACGAGTATCGGAAACTTTCAAAAAATTACAAAAAAAAAATGGAAACTTTTAAAAATTGCAGATACGGCCCGTGAACGTACGGTACGGGTATCCTAGAGTATCGGATACGGGAACGTATCCGATACGCCGATACGCTACCCTAGGGAAGTATCCGTGCTTCATAGGTAGAATATGTTAACAACAACCATCGATCATTAAGAAATTACCCATACTAGAAGTAAAACATGGACTAAGTTCAATAAATGAATAAAAGAAGTTAAACTCTTCTTTTAAAAGTGAATGAGTCTTATGTTGGGAAAAAACAATGTGGTCAATTGACAAAATAAGTTTATTTTTGGTTACTTTGTGTTATGTGTATATTACATTAAGTGTTATTTTTAATTGCTCCCTAAGCACTAATTAGATTACAATTTTACTAGAAAATGCTTAGATAATGTATAAAGTCTGTTTGTATGGAGGGCATAACGTATAACTTGAAAAATCCAATGTTTCTAAAAACGAATAAAATGTGATTGAAGTATTATTCGATCACTTACATTAATCTTTGGATTTTCATAAAATCTTAAATATTCATCAAGGTTTAATGTTATCCCCCCAAAGCATACCATCACCCCCCCCCCCCCCCCCCCCCAAAAAAAAAAAATGGAACAACACAAGAGTTTCTGTTTAGTACCTTTATGCATTTGGGTAGATCACGGTCTTTGGTTCTGGAATGAGACTGAAACAGAAAAAAATCAAGTCAGAGAATTGTAAATGAGAATCTCTATATTTGTATTTGTTATTGGAACACCAGATTTTTAGATCTAGGAACCATGGTCTACAATGTACGTCAGCAATGAAAAGCTGTCTATGAATTGTGGGTAAATATCCATACAAAAGGTTATTACCTGTGTGACAAGGTTGCAGGAGGCATGCAGACCCATGGATGATAAAGTGAGGATAACCAACCCAGCAGCTACAGTTGAGGGCCAGTAATTCAAATGCTCATGGCCTAGTAGTGTCACTAGTGCCAGATATTTAACCGTCTTTTCCACCATTTCGCTAGCTCTAGCAGCTTTCAGGTAGAACCTTTTTCATTTAATGATATTAGATAGTAAGTGGCGGCGGCAATGGTGATAAGAAATATAATGTGTGGTACTACTAGAGAGAGAGGTTCACATTGCAAAAACTTCTTACCATAAGAAGTTGTAAATGGTGGGAAGGAAGCATTGGAAGTTAAGAACCTCCTGTACCACCCACTCCATAGCCACCACTTCGCTTCTGCTGTATACCTTCATTCCTATGTCGAATGTCTTATTGCGAATACTGGTCAGGTATAAATGGATGAATTGAGTGTCAGAGATTTAATTTAAATGTCACAGACAATGAAATTGGGTATTTAGAAAGGCTGTTTTTGTGGCTTCGCTATGATGTCACTGATAGGGAAAGATGTAAGAAGTTTGATTTGTGATATTCATTGCCAAATTCTTACTCCTCAATCATGGCCCACAGTGTGATTCTTTTTTAAAAAGAACTGAGTTTAGATTCAAAAGAGGAAAAACAGATCAGATGAGTGAGCCTAACCAATTCAAAGGCTGGTTTTCTTCAATTCTGGTCGCAAGAGTGAGGCAAGCAATTCCAGCAATTTGAAGATTATTCTCCTTTCTGAAGTAGCCTTTTGTTAAGAACCGGTCGAAGAGGTTAACTCCTAAGAACATTGTCTCCTTTTGAAGTTCTTTCTTTGTGGCTTGCTGCAAATGAAGAATTCTGGTCATGCAACCAATGAACCAAAGAGTTCTCAAAGCAGGACTAGAATTAATGTGTATGCATCTTAGACAGCTAAACCATATTACTTTTATAATAGTGTTTTCTTGATGGTAAATGATACTCCGTATAAAAGTAGACATAATATATTCTTCCCTATTTTGATTCTTGCTTTCCTGTTTTTCGTGAGAAATTGCAAATGAAATGCAGCCCAAACAAACACAAGATGAAGCGCATCACACAGTCACGTGGCAAACTGAATACTGAAGTAGTGGAGTGTGAGGGTGAGACGATCATGAGCGAAATTATTGCTTAGTTTCCGCATAAAGATTACGTGCAAACAATCAGATCTATTGGGGACCAACACATCTTTCCATCAACGTAGGTCCGGGTTGATTTAATCACAACCACTAATTGGAATAAATGAATGATTGAAACCTGGTAATTATTATGTACTCCGTATTACCATATATATTAATCTATTTCATTACAAAAAATAAAGTTTACTAGAAACATGGAAGATCCAAGGAAAATTTGACTAAACTATTCATAAAATTTTAATATAGGACTAATAAAAATTTAATATAGGACTAGGAAAACTTTTACTACGTATTATTTTTAATAATTTTTTTAATATAGCCTAGTAATAAAATACTAATAGTATGTAACATACATACAAAACTGTTTAAGTCATATTTTAGGAATCAAATGTCTTTTAATCACATTCATAATCATTTTCGAGAAGTAGAGCACATTAATTATTGATCTACCTCGACAATCCAGTGGACCATCTTCAGCCGCTGCTTAACAATGAGCTCGCCGTAGCCTGTGCCCGAGCAGTACTCCTTTGCATAGTCCCGTATATACACTTGCCTTCGCTCTCTTCTTCTCAGCAACCTGTAGCTCTCCTCATCCTCATCTTCCAACCCCAACTTCACGCGCAAAATGATAGCAACATCACATAAGGAGCATGAGGTGTGCGAATAAAATGTAATCCGGCGTGATAATAATGTAAGGATACGGGAGTAATATAAATTAATGAAAATTAATTTCACTCCGGTTGATAAATTTCCACAACGGCACAATTACTTGCGAAATTTCAAATAAGAATATAAAAGTGCTGAGTTCTTACTGTAATGTCAGCGTAAATGTTGTGATCTTCCAGAGAATCTTCCAGAGAGTAGGTTGACCTGTAGAACTCTTCACTGAATTGACGGAACAACCGGAAAGTATTTGAAGGATGATCATCACTGTTATATTGCTCAGAGAATTGGCTGCCGGAGTCGTACCAAATTGACGGACTATACTCGGAGCAATCCAACTCGGAGCTCTCCTGGAGAGAATCCCACTGAAGCTCAGAGTACGCCGAGGAGTAGTCATCAAGAGCGTCATCGCCTTTAGATAACTGCTCTGAACATTCCAGATCAAACTCGGTTGCAAGGGAATTCTGTACGTAACCAGCAGCAGATTCTGGATTAGAGACTTCGTCACCAAATACTCTATTCTCAGCAAATTTCGATTCAGCAGCGGACTCCAAGGCAGAGTTAAGTGATACGACATCGTTTTCGCTGAACTCAAGCGCATCCTCGCTTCGTTTCACTTTCTCCTTAGTGAACTTTGATGCTTCACCGGGGATTTTCATTTGACTCGAAATCTCGTTCTCGTCGATTTCATTTGCCTTTCCCTTTACGCTCCCGTTGTGACTGTCAGGCTTCCTAGATTCCCTGGAGAGTGAAAATATCTCAACGCTGGAAACCTCCGAACGCACAACCGCATTGGAATCCTCAGTTTCATTCGTACTTCCACTGTGCTTCAGTTTGAACTTCAACTCGTTGCCGCCTCCAAAACCTCTAGAATTCGATTCCACGCACGAACACTCCGACAACTCCATTTGAGCATCCTTCCCCTCAGTTACACTAGATTTAGTCTTAACTGCCGAAGATCTGCGGGAAGCGAATGAATCCTCTGCTGACAGCAGAGTGGACTGTGAAATGGACGATGAGTAGAGAACCGGAGATACCTTAGAACGACATCTACGAGGAAGCTTCGATCGGAGATTCTTCGGAACGGCGAAATTGAGCTGTGGCTGTGAACGCAGCGGCCGATCAAGCTCAGTCGCCGCTTCTCGGAGCGGCTTCCGCTTCATTGCAGCTGAAGTTTGGTTGGATGAAGATGGCCTGAAGTGAAGGTCTGGAGCTCAATTGAAGCTGTTCGTGTTGTTAGAGAGGGAATGGGAGAAGCGGTTAACTCTGTTCGTTGCTGACGTGCTGGAAAAGGGAGAAGATGGGAGCACATAAGAATTTATATGGTGCGATTGAGTGGGTCCACTAATGCAGTCACGATTCATGAACCGTTTTGTTGACCCTCGCGGCTGAAATTCAGTTTTTCTACATATCCGTTTTGCTTCGGCACCTTACTTTAATAAAAATGGTTTCCGTTTCGGTCCACAGATCTAAGATGTTTTTTTACTCAAAGTTCGATCTCATTAATTTTTTTAGATCAGTTGTTAGTTTGAGTCTTTGAGAATTGATCTAATTTTATTAAAATTAATTATGAAAAACTACAGGATATTATAAGTACTACCTCTGTCCCCAAATGTTCTTCCGATATAAAGTGCCACGCGGATTAAGAAAGTGAGAATTGTGTGGTGGAGAGTTGTGCAGAGGAGTGATAAATGTTGTGAACCACAAATTCTTTGCCGAAAATGGAAAGTGAAATTCATTTTGGGACGGACGAATAAGAAAAGTTGAAAGTAAATTTAGGAAAGGAGGGGGAGTATAATTTATCAATAAAGTTATGTAGTACTCCGTATATAATAGGAGTATACAAAAGCTAAGCTCAGTCATCTTCAACAATGTCAATAAAAAAGTAACCCCAACTAATTAATTCTGATTATTATACTTCTTCCATTCTTTTTAGTTGCAACATTCTATTTTTCACGTTTGCCAATGCACAACTTTGACCATCATTATATTTAATTTTGTATTTGTAAAAAGTAATTAAAAATCAGATTATGAAATTTAGTAATGAGACGAATTCAACAACATTTTAAAAAAAAAATAATAATTCACACATTAATAAATAAAATGTAGTCAAAGTGGAGTACATGAATAATGTATAAATTACAATGTTGCAATTAATGCGATATGGAGGATACTATAATTTTGCGTGCATAATCAAAAGATACATACATACGATAAAAAATTTAATGAAAAGACTGAAAAATAAAAAATATGAATTATGAAACGGGCTCTTAACTTGATTGGTCAATATTGTGTGAACTTTATTCTTACCAATTGCTTTCGACGGGTATGCCGGTATGGGGGTTGATGTGCGGCAATGGCGCCTTGACGATGCATGGAGTGAGGGAGCTTCAGAGCAGGCATGGACCCGGTTCGGGCCACCCGGCCCGCTACTGTGCGGGACCAGAACTGGCTCGGTTCTTGGGTCCGGGTCGGGCCTAGGCCCGGTGGGGGGGGTCCGGGCTCGGGCCTTGTATTTGGCGAACCGGCCCGGCCGGGTCGGGCCCGGGTCCGGGCCTAATTGATTTTTTTTTTTCATTTTTTGGGGTAGACCCGGGTTGGGCTTGATGGTTAAGAGGGGTTTGGGGGTTTTGGGGAGGGTGGGGGGTGAGGGGGTTAGGAAAGCAAAAAAAAAAAAACCAAACCGGAGGCCCGGCCCGGACCCGGTGGCTACCCGGGCCGGTCTCGGGCCTCCTTCCCAACAAAAAAGCCCGGCCGGACCCGGCCCCGAACCGGAACCGGCCCGACCCGGGTCCATGACTACTTCAGAGACATGAGACGAGTCAGTGAAGGATCCCCGGGTCGGAAAATGGCGAGTAGCTCATGGTGAGCATCGTACTCCCACACCTAAAACACGTGTGAACAATGTTTTTTGCTTCTATAGCATGAGTTTATAGTAATTTTCTTATGTTCGTTTCAGTAGTAGGGTGATGTAATTTGCCTTTAAATAAATCTTACGCACGTTGATGAGAAATGTAAATGGAGACAAGTCAAAATATAAGTTGTCTAATACGGAATATAAAAAATAAAACATTGATTTCAATATAATTAATGAAAAAAGGAATATAAATGTCCAATTACATTATAGCTTGGTAATCAATACCAAGCTATAAAAATGACTAAAAACATCATAATTCTGCGTCTAAAACACGCGTGAACAATGTTTTTTGCTTCTATAGCATGAGTTTATTTTGTGATGCAATGATGTTTGTAGTTGGACTGAAATTTGCTAGGTTGGTTGTTTAAGTATGGTCTGGTCTGTTTAAGTCTGGTTTGGTGTGAGACTGAAAACAGTCCAAGTAAAAACATCATAACTCACATTATGGAAAATGTAACTCGCGGTTATGAAAAATGCAACTCGCAGATGCAAGTCCAAAAGTAACCCGCACATATGAAAATGTAACCCGCACACATGAAAATGTAAACCGCACATAAGAAGATGTAACTCACGCATATGAAGATGTAAAACACGCATACAAATCTCTATTTATTATTAAATGTAACTTCAAAAATCGTGTATAAATATAATTCACACATACACATGGAAATGTAAACTTCACATATGAAAATGTAATATCATGTTTTATCAATTGTAAATTGAAACAAACAAACTCAGTGTCTGAAATAACAATTAAGAATATATAAAAGATATAAAAATATACAACATATTAAAGAAAAAGCGTTTGAATATGAAAAAGTACGTATTACATATATAAGCTTTACAAATATGAGTAGTATTACAGAAAAACTATATGAACATAAATTTTTATTATCTAAGTTGTAATAAGACGATGAGTTGTCTACTTCCTTTTTAATTAATAATAAAACGTGACTCTATTGGGATTGGTACACTGTGCGGACGGTGTAGCGATCTCATGATATAATTTGTTGTGAGGGAGATCCAACGTAAAGGGAGAGAGGAAACGCATAATTCGGTTAGATTAATTAAGGGCATTTTTGTCCATGCATCAATATTTGGTCTATTTTATCCAAGATAAAATATGGCCTCATTTATATCCATTAAAAAGCTTATAGCATTTTTTTGTAATTCTTTGTTACAATGTTTTGCAATATATACAACAACAACATCCAAGCCTTAGTTTCAAAAGATATTGGGGTTAGCTAACATGAATCGATACATGATATCACCGCCAAAAGGTATAGAAAGAAAATAAAGATAAAAAGATAAACTATTATGAAAAAGATAATATAAAAACAAATGAATATATCTAAAATAGTCCCAAAATATGAATATTTTGCAATATATATACGATTAAATTACTATTATCCTAAAATTATGCAGCTGTATATTGACACTATCAGATAAAATATCACAATTGCCCGTATTTGCATATTTTGATAATAAACTTATATTTAAGGACAAAATATACTAGTTTTATGTATGAATTGTACATTTTTTATTTCTATTTAAGACAATTTCTAAGATGAGCATAACGAAACATTACTCATCCAAACTCTTGAGAAATGGATTTAAGCCGTTCTATCCATCGGTTAGGTAAATTGCCAATGTAATCTATAGATCACTATACATAAGAGATTGTTCATGATTCTGCATGTCCTCAGGTTCTCACCACAACTCCAGAGAGAACCACTATTGATTGATTTAGATACAACCATGTTACGTTCCACGTACACCTCTCGGGAGAATCGCTCATTAGGCATTTGATGATTATACATTAGTATCTCTCACATTCAAATAAACTTTTCACACACACATTCATATCTCCGTCCATATATCCGACCAAATCATATTTAAATAGACTCAATTGGACATGACCGGATTTAAACAAATCAAATCTGTCATGATATAAAAATATTAAAATACACACAATATCATGCCTTACATGACAGGACTAGTTCAAATGACATTAGACTTAATCAAATTAGATTGAAATAAACCAGCCTAAAATAGATTAAAACAATGAGTTGAAATAAAAACACACATCGTTAACAATGGTATTAATTTTTTACTTTATTTATGATTTTACTTAAGCACACATCTCATGCGAATATGCGATCTTCCCTTAGTGGATATTCTTCGTTCATCCAATATTGCATTTTTTGCATCCTCAGCTGGATTTTATAAGTCTCACTAAAGATGAGACAAGTATAATAGGTATACCTTAACAAAACCATGAATACCATGTACCAATCATATATATGTAGAGTAGTATATGTACACCCAACAAAAGAGTTGTCAATATCGTTCCGGAATTTCGGTACATCAAAGATTGGTAAGATATAAAACACATATGTCTGGCTTTGGTACAATTTCGAGCTATATGTCATTATCATGTAAAATTGAACATGATGTTATTTTGTGATTATTGAGTTATTTTAAATAGTGGCAGTAAATATTCAAGTTCATAGACTTTGATCTTGGCGAATGCGTTGTTGGGAAAATTATAATTAACTTAAAGCATACCTCTTTTTATACTCCGTACAAGATAAAACTGTATGGGTGAGCTGTCCGTCATTGTCATTGTGTATAAGCTTGAATTTAAATGGGATTCTTACTTAAGACCACGACAACAACTATCCTCGATAATAACTGAACAATGCAAAATACAACTCTAGAACCTAATAAATAATTAGTATGTTCTAGTGAAGAAATGCCAAATAGTCTTATTATTAGAGTTGATAATTTAATTTGACATAGTAATTAAGTGAATGAAGTTTGTAATGAATCTTATAGATCTAGCAAATGCAAGAATAACTTTAACGATGAGTTATGGACAATTGAATGCTATCTATTCTTCACCTTTATCATAACATATATCGGTTATATGTTTTAATTAAATTGGTCATTTGCAAATTTGTCAACTAAGAAACTCCATATTAATATGAGTAACTTTGTAGAATCTTGATTGAGATACATTAATAATGTAACACGTTCCTATTCTTTTTGTGATAGATCGTTTTTTATTAATTTCAATATTAACACCATAAAATGGTTTATTCAAAATATATGCTATCAAGACACATACCAGGTACAATCATCACTCACTTTTTTCAGATATTAGAGCAAGGGTCTATTCAAAATGTCATTTGGCCACGACTTGTTGAAAAACATGAAAAAATGAATCCTTGCATGGTTTCAACTTTCAAGAATTAGATACATACATACTTAATAGCAAGTATTAATTTTTTCCAATGAGATTTAACGTGTTCAGTTACTCTAACATGAAGAAAACACTTAAAAGTGATCA